CATTCATGAACCAGTGTAGGGAATATATCCACTTCGGTGCTTAAAAACTAAGCTTACAATATATTCCATGCTATAGTAACCAAATTCTATTCGACATGATATGGTTTATATGAATGAAGCTACATATCCCTTATTATTGCATTTGCCAAAGGCTAATATTATTCTATCGACACATGTTGAAGAATAATTTCAAATTCCCTTACGATAATTAATTTGTTTATTTCTTTCATTTATTAAATGAAAAATATTAAATATATATATATGACTTGCATTTAATAAAAATTATATGATTCTTTTTTTTTATAATCAAATTAAGGCTAAAAGCACGTGACTTTTTTAATATCAGGATTTAAAAATTATAAAAATCAAAATAAATTTAAAAATCCTATTTTTATGGGTAAATTTAAGTATTCATTCATGTTTTTGTGAAGTTTATTTAAGATATATGAAGTTTGTTCAAGTAAATTTTTTTAAAAACACTTTTAAGAGAGGAAAATAAAAAAGAAAAATAAAATAACATAAGTTGAAGTTAGTTTATATATAAGTTAATTTATAAAAGTTTTATTACCATAATATTTTTTTGATAGTCAAATTATTTTGAGATCATCACCTTTTGTTTGTCTTTTGCATAATGACTCATAAATAAATATGTAGTATTAAATATATAATTTCACATTTTTTGAAATATAAATATATATTAAATTACTCCTTATGATATTTCATATTTTAAAATATTGAATGATTTTTTCATTTTAACACTTTTAAAAATATCTCTTTTTATATAAGTAACTAAACAATTCTTTAATCACTTATATTCTATATCAAAATTTTAACTTTTTTTTTAAATAGTATAATATAAATTTGGGTCAATCATCACTTTTTAATTATTTTACTGACTTAACTATTATTAGTACTCTCTCCATCCTAAAATAAGTATTGTCCTAAATTATTTTATATAGGTAAAAAATAAAGAAACCTGTGATTAATTTTATTTATTATAAACAATATAATATAGTATCCATTTTCTAAAGAATATTGTGAAAGGTATAAATAAAAAAGGTAATTACATTGAGAAACTTATTAGAGCTTATTTTTTCTTGAGCACGATATTTATAATTATGTAATAGAGAGAGTATTATAAATACTATAAATAAATACTTCAAAAAATATATATATTAACTTTGACTTTTTTATAAAATAAAAATTAAAAAAAGGTAGAAATACTTAATTTTTAATATGACATGAACACATTATTATAAATTTATAATACATATATAAAAAAAAACTAAATATAAAAAATGTTAGTGGAGACATTTACCAATGTGAATGTGACTTTACTTTTGCATAACAAAAATGTGAAACCAATTACAAAATGACAGCATGAGGTGAACAAAGTTTTTATTTTCCCTTAAAAAAATTGTACATTAATATATTTTTATATATAGTTTTTTCTAAAATTTATAATTTAAAAGTCACTTTTTATAATTTTAAAAAAATTACTATAAAATATTCATCTTTAAAAGATATATAAATATAATTATTATTTTAAATATATATTTTTTAAAAAAAATTATCAAAAATATTCTTATTTATTTTAAAAAATCTCACTTTAAAATGTGATAGTCTTTTGAATTTATTGATGATTCCATTTCCACTTCTGCTCAGTGTTACAAGGTGGATTCCAGCAGTGTGTACATTTATATATATTCGCAGAGT